AGTATTTTTCGTTTATATCTTATCCTTTTTTTTTTCTTTTATTTGTTTTTTTTTATGTATTCCCTTATACCTCTGTGTTTTGTTTCTTTAAAAATTTTTCTTTTTCTTTTGCTTCTCTATGAGAAGATGTTATCAGATTGGCGATATTCTATTGTAAAGCGATAGTCGCATAAGTCTCCGGAGGGTATTATCTTAGTTGATTGTATCTGAAGGTGCAGTGTGGTCGCCTGTAGGTGCATGTAGGTAATCAGTTAGGTTATGCGAAGCAACCGCAGAATGTCAGATTTGCAGTTTTAATATTTATGCTCTTTCCACAGATTTGATACTTGATTGAATAAAGGATACTGGCATGATCTGTCTAAGTGAAGCAAAAAAAATAATATTTTTTTTAGATAAGGCGAAGCAAAGTAAATTTTTTGGTTTTCATATCCCGGCCGGGTCAATTTTTGCTAATTTAAAATTTAAAATTTTTTATTTAATAACCAATCAAATACATATATACAGTACATACTATAATAATTGTCTATTATATAATCAGTTTAGATAGGATATATATTTCAAAGTATTGTATACACTTAATATTTTACTATTTGGATACATTTAGTCAACACTATTGAATGATTTTTTGAGCATACATCAGTGTGTTAACTATCACAATACTTGTAGTTTACTACACTGTATGAAATAGATCAACTTTAATATAAAGTTTTAAGTTACCACAAAATAGCAAGATTTACATGAGGCAGAACAATTTGGATATGAATTCTGCTTCTTGTAATGAATAAGATTTTGCATTACTTTGTAACATGCCTAAGATTATAAAAATGATGCCAAGGGAAAATGGAATTTCGATCATATAAAATTTATATGATCGAGATCCCTTTTCCTTTAGCGTTACTCATTTAAAAATTTGACTTATCTGAATTGGAAAAATCCAGAAATCCTTTATAGCACTTAATTCATATGTTCTCTCTCACGGTATTAGCAATCACATACTCAATGGGAATAGTATCTACTGATACTAAAACTAGTTCTTTGTATTAGCTTGACTGGATTGCTTCTAGCATATTCTTGCTTAGCAATATTTTGATTTGTTGACTTTTGTCAACTTGAAAATAAATCAGATTACATAAGCGTAAAGTCTGATACAACACTTAGTATAGGACAAATATCTAACACTATAATAAATTTCTATATATGTTCTAATTGGTACGAGGACATGTTTATTGAGGACTAGAATTGGGTATTCTGGTGTTGGTTACTTATAATACTATTCTTTTCTCTTATTCTATGTATTAATACTCTATATCTCTTATTTCTTTCTCTAGTGCACCTGGGGTTCAATCAGTTATCGGTCTTCTAATTTCTGAGTCACATGCACGAGATCACGATTCAAATCAATTTATTATGTAACGGTAAGTATTAAATAGTAACGCTAATCACAAATCTTATCAATTTAATTTATATATATAAGGGTTTTGATTACTAATCAATCTCACTCTTTCTTTTACTAACCTGGGTCTACGAATGTCATGAAGACAAGAAAATACGAGATCAATAATACTTTTCATAGTTGGAACTTCGAAGGTGAATTACTTTGTTTCGAGGATACTTCTGGACTCTGTACATTTTCGATATTCCAAATTTTGCTAACTTATACGTACCATATCTACCCTGTTCTACTATTTTTGCCATATAACTTATGCCATATATAGCAGATTTGGCAGATCTGGACAAATTGACAACGTACATATGTATAAATGGTTAAATTGATTTTATGTATACATGAGCACCGTAAAGAGAATTTTATCTAATAAGATTCTCTTTGAAGCATTTATATATTAATTATGGCATGGTATTGAATGTGGCTACAATGCCATATTGCTACTTTTTTTTTTTTTTTTTTTTTTTAGACTCTCTTTAGAGGGATGCCATATGGTGTTAGTTTATTATGCCGTATTTATGTACAATTTATAATCTGTTTACATATATACATTTGAGAATTTTCTTTATTTCCTCACTCTGTATTTTTTTATATTGTAACACTTTTATCTTCTTACCTATCTGATTTTTAACTATGTGTAGTAAAACATTGCTACATTTAAGGATTAGACCATAGCGATAGTTATCCAAAATATAAAACTTACCTGAATAGCTTGAGTAATTTTGAAAAGCATTGTAGCATTTTAAGAACTTGTTTAAGTCCTGAAGTCAAAGACTAATCTGCAGAAAAATAGTGGGCTAACTTGCATGCTATATTATAGATTTATCAATTTTCTAATATAGTAACAGATAGATATTGTCTTGTGACAAATTGATAAATGGGCGTTTGAGTAACAAGATAATGCCAAGTCATATAGTTTGCAAAAATGGATATAAGAGGTTCTTATAAGGAGTGATGCGAGTTAACGAAATAATGTAAATTTTCTTGAGCCAACTATCATAACCTACTAACCCACTACTATCAAAGTATCTATATATCAACTAAACTCTTTAATGATGCCTTTTGCCAATATACGTATTATAAAAGGTACAAAAACACTTTATAATTGGCATATCTACCCAATTCCCCATGAAATGACCATTGAAGATTTTTTTGAGAAGCTTGTATATGGTGAAATATCGTCCGATTTTTCATTTGATTTGAGTAGCCTTGAAAAGATCAAACGTATTGAGATAAGTCAAACGCCTACTAGTGCTGCTATTCAAGCAAGCCAAGATTGTAATATTATAGAACTTCTGAATATATTTGGCACCAATGTTTACTTTTATCTAGATGAAATAGATTTCACTGTAGATATAACACAACAAAATAGTTTTGATATTCTTATGCAATCTGCGAGAAATAAAAGCAATCAGCTTTATTTATCAAACTTTTCGCATTATAAAAAACTGAACCGAAAACAACTATTGCAGTGTAATATTGTGAAATGGATACAACAGCATGGCGGTGAATGAAAATCAGAAGAATATGCTAATAGCGAAGGAAAAGAATTTATAACAAGTCTTACAGAAACAATCTGGTATATTGATATGCGGGGTCATGATAAATTAGAAAATCGTGGTTATCATATTCCAAATATTTTTACTAAATTTTTCAATCGAGCTGATCTAGAATCATATAAGGAAGCACGAAAACCTTTTAATGCACAAGAGTTAAATATTTATTGTCAAGCTTTAGCACCTTATGTTACATTTCCATGGATATTTTCTACGGCATTTGGTTGGTTACGTGAACCTCTTGATAATTTTGTTATAGCATTATCACAATATGTTAGATTTTTAAAGCGTTAACAAGAAATCACAGCAAAAAATCATTCTTTGGATAATTATGTTCGAAGCTCTGAAAAAGCAATAACAGTTAAAATTCATGAGCATAATACTTGGGTTTCACCAACAGATAAAATTAAATATCAACAGTTGGAATATATATTATCACATATAGAATACTGGAAACCACTCAATTTAGAAGAATATTTGCCGGTTAACCCATTGTATGTTTCTTGTATGTACTGTACATATGTACATTTTTAATTTAATTTTATAACAAAAATATTTATATTTAGACAAAGAACGCGATATATACAAGGCCTGTCTCAAGCATTTACATATAATATCGGTGAATATCATTTCAATTCTGGAAATAATACATTTAATGCTACTTTAATTTGGAAAATTGATAATAGTATGAATAAAAAGCAAGTATTTCAAAAAAATATGGATATTGTAAATCAACTTCGAAATGAAGCTCCCAAATATCATACCCGAGCTATGCAAATTAATTACATGCGAGCATGTGAATTGCTCCTTTCAAAAGTAAAAGTGTCACCCCTCTGCACTATTTACAGAATGCTAACTGGCAATACATCTGCAGCAGAATCAGCTATCGAAGCAAAAGTAGACGCACATATTAAATTGGCTTTAGACTTAGGTGATCCTGATATTGTATTTGATTTGCGCAAACATAATAATGGAAGACCCAAAAAATACAATGAATTTTGGAATATTGCAAGTCATTTTCTTGAAGCTAAAGCTGCTGAATTGGTTACAGCTGTCGATGAACGTCGTCATGATATAATTGTGCATCTGGCTACAGCAATTTCTGTAAATGATTTATGGCTCCAAATCAAAACCGAAAGTCCGTCTAATATATTAATTTCAAGCGTACAATGGTTGTGATTGCAATTCTGGCCTAAGAACCCGACTACTCTTACTAGCTTGCAATATGTGGGCCAGTTACCTCTTAAATTTATGGTACAAACACGACAACTTCATGCTCATCATCCAGATGCGCATTATGCGTCAGCACTTTTTCGATATGAAAAGGAATTTGCAGTAAAATTTCATGATATTACGATACTTGCATTTCTGAATAACAAACACAGATGTAAAGTTGGAGAGCCGGGGTTTCCTGTTGCAGCTATAGAGAGAGGAAAACGAGTTATTGTTGGTAAAGATAAAACATTCATAGTTGGGGATTATGATTATACCAAAACTGGGATAGTGCCAAGTGTTTCTATGATATGCACTATTCTAGAATCAATTAATGGAAACTTTTATGCGGGTAAAGTGCATATAGGACTAAAAGATCCTATTTTTCAGCCTTCATCACCATTACGCCATGCAAATGAACTGTACAAGATTTTGCTTAATGAAGATATTAGTAATAAATCTATATTATGCCTTTACACTAATGGTGGTCCCGACCATCGTTGCATATTTATACGGGTACAAATTTCATATATTTGCCTTTTTCTAGTATTGGATCTTGATTATTTTATTGCTGTAAGAACTCCACCACAGCACTCATAGAAAAATCCTGTTGAATGTGTAATGTCCATTCTTAATCTTGAATTACAATGTGTCGGTCTAATACGTAGTAAAATGAATGATGAGTTAGAATCATTAATTAGCAAAGTGGGTACAATGAATGAAATTCGTAAAATCACAGAAGATTATCCTACCTTAAAAACTGCATTGTTTGAGAGTATTCAGCAACCAATCAATCTTGTTCGCAATGTATTTGAGTATCAATCTCTAAAAGAAGTTCCATTTCAAACTTTTGATTTAGCAACAGAGGAAGAAATTAATAATCTTGAAAAACAATAAAATTAATCGATAATTCTGTATCTCAAAATGACCATACAGCAAAAAATATAAAAGATTGGGTAAGTATTTTATTAGAAGCTGTGTTAAACAAAGACAAGTACTAAAAATATTTTAAAAGACACAATTAGTGGAATTCATGGAGCACTGTTGTGTGTCTCGGCATTACTTTTTCGCAATTAAGAAGTGTGGAAAGAATAACTGCACAATATGTAGACCACTTCGTTGTTCCCAAGAAGAATTTGAGCAACTTCATTGTATTCTGATCCAGTTCCTGGTGATGATTTGCACTATAAATCATTTAGTGAACTATATGGAACTATTACAAATAAAGAATATAGACCTTTACTTAAAAAATCTAGTTTGCGAAAATTAAAAGTAAGCAAAACAAAGGCCACTACTCTGAGAGCAAGTCATACTATGCCATTTTGCCCTTCCGCAGCTCGAGCAAAAAATGTCAGTATCACAGTTACCTGTATTGAATGTGGAAAGCCGCGCCTTCTATTTAGTGCTAAGAAACTTCTTAAAAATAAACAACAAATATTACAAGCTTTCCTTGACACCATTTTATATACTTGTGGAATGTCTTTTAATAGTGTCTGTGATCTGGCCAATGCTATACCAAAACAACCAACGGATATAGTAAATAAATGCGTAATTGATGATGATAACTGTAGTGAGAATGAAGATGATGACTGTAGTGAGAATGAAGATGATGAATTTACAGGACTAAATCATTCCTTAGAGGTATGTAAAATGAATATGCACTTGTAGTGAATGATTTAGTCGCAACTAAATATAATATTATATGAGTGATGCCAAGAGAAAATAGAACTTAAATATATAAAATTTATATGGATGAAGTCTCATTTTCTCTTAGTATCACTCATATAGATATAGATTACATTAGACCGGTTAAATGATATAAACTTATAGAAGCAAATGCATATAAAGTGTAGTTATAGAATATGTACTTATGGAGGGTCTATTGTATACAAATAACAATTAACCAAGTTGACAAAGAATTCATTGAAAAAAATATAGAATTGCAATTATGAATTCAGCGATGAACCTCATGATATACATGATGAACCTCAAGATATATACGATAAGCTTCAAGATACGTGCGATGAGTTTCAAGATACTTATAATGAACCTCAAAATATATATAATAATAATGATGATAGTGCTGATACTGAAATTACAACTGTGACAGAAGATCCAATTCAAAAAATCTTTGAGAAGGTCTTTGTCAATGATTCATGGTCATATAACTCACCTGTTGA